CCCCCGTCTCATGTCCCCAGCCATGCCCCCGTCTCATGTCCCCAGCCTCGTCCCTCGTCATGTCCCCAGCCTCGTCCCTCGTCATGTCCCCAGCCAAGTCCACAGTCAAGTCTCACAGTCACGTGCCATGATCCACGCCTCGTGTTTGTTCCCTCTGTTCCTGATCCCCCTCCCCACCCTCCCGTGGTCCTCGTGTGTTTTAGGGCCGTCTGGGAGCCGTCCCTTAAGGGGGGGGCTCTGTCACGTCTGGTGTCTCGTCTTGATTACCCATTGTGTACACCTGGGGTTCCCCTCCTCATGTGTTTAAAAAGTCCTGTTTCCCCTTGTCTGGCGCGAGTGCGTTTTCGTCTCTTGTCCGTCTTGTCCGTCGTCTCCCCCACGCCAGGTTTGTTTTGTCATAGTCTTTTCTTGCCATAGTCACAGTTTTGTCAATCGTTATTTTGTTACTTTGCCTCCGTCTTGTTTGCTCATTGCTTTGTTACTTTGATCACAGTTTTCCACAGCTTTACTTTGTACTTTGTCTGGACATTCACTCTGGTTTTTGTTACAATAAACCTTGTTCCCCTCATCTCCGCAACTGAGTCCTCCCTCCAAGAACCCACCTTCGTGACAGGTTTAGTGACTAAAAAGGGTTCAAAAGGAGGAAAAGTACAAACAGTACAAACAGCAAAAACAAACAAATATACATGGAAGCAACACAGAGTGCAGAGATTTGAGTGACTAAAATATGTACAATCATTGATGGCTCACACACAGTACACATATTACACAGGTCAATAAATATAATATAATTATATTGCAGCATTGTACAGTCCGGTAGCAGCAGGAATGAATGACCTGCGGTATCGCTCTTTTTTACACACAGGGTGTCTAAAGCTTTTACTAAATGAGCTGCTCAGCTCCTCTACAGTCTGATGCAGGGGGTGAGAGGTGTTGTCCATGATAGATCTGAGTTTGGACAACACTCTCCTCTCAGCCACTTCCTCCACTGAGTCCAGAGGGCAGCCCAGGACAGAAGTGGCCTTCATTGTCAGCTTATTCAGCCTCTTCCTGTCCCGCTCTGCGCTGCCAAGGGCCCAGCAGACAACAGCGTAGAGGAGGGCTTAGGCCACTACAGAGTCGTAAAAGCTTTGAAGGAGGGGCCTGCTGACTCCAAAGGCCCTCAGCCTCCTCAGGAGGTGAAGGCGGATCTGGCCATTTTTATACAGGGCGTCAGTGTTGTGAGTCCAGTCCAGTTTATTGTTCACGTGAATACCAAGGTTTTGAAACTTTCTACAGTTTCTATGTCCTGCCCCTGGATGTTCATGGGGGGTGGAGTGGTGGTCTGGTCAATGGTCCAGTCAACCAGATGTTTGTCCACCCCAGCGTCCTCCAGCTTCCCCCTCAGCAGCACCGGTCTGATGGTGTTGAAAGCGCTTGAGAAGTCAGAGAATATGACTCTCACAGCGCTCCCGGTGGTCTCCAGGTGGGTGAGCACTCGCTGCAGCAAGTAGATTATGGCATCCTCTACTCCGATGTTGGGCCGGTAGACAAACTGCAGCGGGTCCAGGGTGGTGCTCACCACGGTGTGAAGGTGGGCGAGGACGAGGCGCTCCATGGTCTTCATCAGGTGAGAGGTCAGGGTGACTGGTCTGAAGTCGGCCGGTTCCCTGGCATGTGGCGTTTTGGGAACCAGTACCACACAGGAGGTCTTCCACAGGGTGGGGACCACCCTCAGGCTGAGGCTCAGTTTGTAGATGTAGCTGAGGACCTGACAGAGCTCATCTGCACAGGTCTTCAGCAGCCTTGGGGGGATGCCGTCTGGTCCTGAGGCTTTCCTCTGTTTCAGCCTCATCAGCTGCCCTCTTGGTGTTATTCAATTCAATTAAATTCAAGAATTTATTTTCATTGTCAAAAAAGGCAACGAAATTGTGTTTAAGATACAATACTTAGTAGCAGCACCCTAATGAATAAGGCAAAACATTCAGACTTTAGGCAGTCCGTTCCTCAAAAAGTGCTGTGAGTTCAAAAGTCTTATGGCCTGGTGGTATAGGCTGTTGGCCAGTTGTGAGGGGGGAGGAAGGCCCGACTGAAGGTGTGGATTGATCGGGGGTTGGTGTGAGTGGCGGCAGTGGGGAGGGTAGGTCCCTGGGGGGCTGGGGGTTGGAGGGGTGTGGAGAGTTGAGGGCAGTGTGAGGGGAGTCAAACCGTGTGAAGAAGCTGTTTAACTCATTCGCAAACTTGGTGTCACCGTCTGCAGCCCTGCTGGTTCTCTCAGCAAAGCCTGAGATGTTCTTCAGACCTCTCCACACATCTCTGACGTTGTTCTGCGCCAGCTGCTCCTCCATCTTCCTCCCATAGTCCTTCTTTGAAGCTCTGATCCTCCATTGTAGCTCCTGCTGAGCTCTACGCTGCCCC